TAAAGTCAGATGTGTAAACACGCGAACATGTTATGTTGCCAAATGGCCGGAAAGCCTAACCAGGTGATTCCTCCTGCACCACTGTGTCCAACACCGGTGATGGGTGAGCCATTTGAAAAATCATTATTGATTGTGTGGGCCGTTACCAAGAACTAAAACCGGGAAATCAGTTTTTGCTCACCATTATGTGCCTCCACCAGGTACCCTGAAGCAGTACCCTGAGGAAAATCACCTTCCTGTCATCACCAAGGCTCTGGTAAAGTTCTTCTCTACATTTGGGTTGCCAAAGGTTGTCCAAACAGATCAAGGTACCAATTTTAAATCCAAAGTTTTCACCCATGCTCTGCATGCTTTGGGAATCAAACATGTCACCTCCAGTCCATACCATCCTGAAAGTCAAGGTGCACTTGAAGATTCCATCAGACTATGAAATCGATGCTGAAAAAGCACTGCCTTGAGTCACCAAGGATGGGATGATGGGGTCCCACTGGTGCTCTTTGCTGCTAGAGAAGCTGTACAGGAATCATTAGGCTTCAGTCCCTCACAGCTAGTCTTCAGACATGAAGTCAGAGGCCCATTGAAAATTCTCAAAGAAAGCTCATTACTCCTACAAAAACAGTCAAAACATTTTGAATATGTCTCTACACTCAGAGAGCGTTTAAAAAGAGCCTGCTCTTTGGCTAAGAAGCTCTGGCCTCCTCTCAGACCAAATGAAGAGAATTTTGATTAAAAAAGCAGTTGTCCATACGTTCCAGCCTGGTGACAAAGTTCTGCTTCTTTTACCTATACCTGGCTCTCACTCTCTACTAAATTTTCTGGTCCTATGTTGTAGACAAGAACTGAGCGACACCAACTATGTCATTCACACACCGGACCGGAGGGGCGCTCCAGAGTTTGCCACGTGAATGCTGAAACTCTACCAGGCTCGGAGTGACCAACCTGAACGGCAGTCCCTGTGTTGACAAGATTCTTCCACTGTTGCGCATTCACAAAGGTGAGCTCCTCAGATCCTGAAGATGGCCTACTAATGCAGAGTGCCACACCCCAAGGAGCTAAGCTCAGCAACAGCCAAATACTGAAAATCTGTCCAGCTATCTGTCAAAAACTCCCAATGATAAAGGTGATGACATCACACAACTTATATTGGACTTTCCCAGACTATTCAGTGACATTCCCTCTCAAACATCAGTTATATCACATGATATTTCCTGACTAACCCTTCGCCAATTAAGCTGCATGCTTATCCAGTCAGCCCAGCTAAGAGGGAAATTATGAAAAAGGAAGCTGAGTATTTAATACAAAATGGACTTGCTGTGCCCAGCTCAAGTCCCTGGAGTTCTCCTGTCTCCTTGATACAAAAGCTGATGGGGCCCCAGGTTTGTACAGATTTCAGAAGGTCAATGCTGTAACTGTACCAGATGCTCATCCTCTGCCACTATTGATGACTGTATTGATGAAATAGGTCCCGCGACCTACGTGAGTAAACTCGACATGTTAAAGGATATTGGCAAGTTCTGTTAACGACCCGCGCCTCTGATATTTCAGCTTTTGTGACCCCAGATTACTTCCTCCAGTACACCGTATGCCATTGACTCTGCAATGCCCCGGCCACTTTTCAGAGGTTGGTAATAAAGTGTTGGGAGGCGTACCAAACTGCAGAGCATATTTGGATATATTGTTGTGTATACAATGATTGGGCTTGTCATATAGCAACCCTGAGGGAAGTTTTTGAAGACTGTCTGCTGCATCGCTAACCCTTAATCTTGCCAAATGTGAATTTGGACAAGGCACTGTACAATATCTTGGTCAGCAGGTTGGCGGTGGAAAAGTGTGCCCAGTGAAGCTAAAATCGCAACATTATTACCTTCCCTACGCCTACAGCAAGAAGTTAGTTGCGCCGCTTCCTAGCATGGCTGGTACTATCGCCGGTTCTGTAAGAACTTCTCCTCAGTAGCAGCGCCTTTGACTGCTCTCACAAGCCCCGCTAAGCCCTTCATTGTCCGATGAGTGTCAAAATCTTTTGAAGCTTAAAAGCTATTCTGTGTTGCACCTGTTTTGTCTGCCCAGACTTCCAGCGCCCATTCAAACTGGAGGTGGATGCTAGCATGGTGGGAGCTGGAGCTGTCCTTCTCCAAGAAGATGATCAAGGCTTTGATCATCTGTAAGTTTTTTTTCTCGCAAATTTGACAAACATCAGTTAAAGTACTCTACTGTTGAGAAGGAAACCCTAGCCTTATGTTTGCAGTGCAACACTTCGAAGTCTATCTTAGTTCTGTCCCCAGCCCATACAGTATTCACTGATCATAATCCCTTACATTTCTTTCAAGAATGTACAACAAGAATCACGCTCATGAGATGGTCACTGATCCTGCAAATTACAATCTGGAAATTAAACATAAAAGAGGATTGAAAAATAGTTGCTGATGCTTTATCAAGGATCCATAGTAACAAGCATTCAAACTATGTTTGAATTTATAAGGGTGGGGTGTTACATGCAGGCATTTGTTTAGTTGTGTGCTGCTCTCTCCTCTGCCTGTGTGTTCAGGTGCTGTGGGTGTGACCGGAACTGGAGCTGATTGGTCAGCTGGCTGCCAATCAGAGTGGAGAGGGCTGTTTAAAAGGAGCTGTGTGCGGCCTCTCTCTCTCTCTCTCTCTCTCTCTCTCGCTCTCTCGCTCTCTCGCTCTCTCCTCTCTCTCTTCTCTCTCTTCTCTCTCTCTCTCTCTCTCTCTCTCTTCTTCTCTCTCTCTCTCTCTCTCTCTCTCTCTCTCTCTCTCTCTCTCTCTCTCTCTCTCTCTCTCTCTCTCTTCTCTCTCTCTTCTCTCTCTCTCTCTCTCTCTCTCTCTCTTCTCTCTCTCTCTCTCTCTCTCTCTCTCTCTCTCTCTCTCTCTCTCTCTCTCTCTCTCTCTCTCTCTCTTCTCTCTCTCTCTCTCTCTCTCTCTCTCTCTCTCTCTCTCTCTCTCTCTCTCTCTCTCTCTCTCTCTCTGTGTAAGCTGCTAGCCAGGTTTGTTGGTGGGAGGATTGGTTAGGTAAGTTTGGGGATCCCTGTACACTCATCACATAGATTTTTGTTGTTAGACGCATTAGTTATCAGTTTCCACCCTTGTTGTTTTGAGTTTTCCAAATTCTCCTTTTAGACCAGGTAGCGAGGCTTTTGATTTCTTTCTTTTTGTAGCTTAGTTTTCAGTTAGGGCCTGTTTTGTTATACTTTTGTTTGTTGATTTGGGCAACTGGCCCACGCCTCCTCCCACCAACCTTTTGTTCATTTTTTTTGTACACTTTAATGAATGTTTGGCTGTCAAATAAAAGTTTGCCAAACCGACTTGCCTCAAGGGTTTTATACACGTTGTGTCCTTGTTGTTATAGGGGACATAACAGTTAGGGTTAGGGTTAGGTGTTAGGTTAGGGGTTTCCACCTCTGGTGACGGTCGAGTTTTCACTGTAGTCGTTCCTCAGATTCAATCAAAATGCAGAGAAATTCGACTTGTGCCAATATTTTACTGATTTCAGCAACATCAAACAGCACCGTGAAAACTAGGGTTAGGGTTAGGGTTAGGGTCAGCATTAACCGCGATGACGGAGCCTTCCTCCTTTCACACACCTGGGACACCCTCCTCCAGAGAACATCGGGCGACGGGAGGCGTGGTCAGTCTGAGCCACCTGCAGGTCCATCAGGTCTGACCACGCCCACAGGAAGTAACAACAGCTGATATACGACACGTCACCACCAACACCGGTGACAGTTCTGAAGATGCAGCAGCAGCAGCCGAAACATGTCAACAAGGTAAATACATTTTACTGCACTGTCTTTAAAAAGAACCTAAGATGTTAAAGGACTAGACCAGGACTAAACCAGGACTGAACCAAGACTAAACCAGGACTGACAAGACTAAACCCAAGACCCAGGACTAAACCAGGACTAAACCAGGACTAACTAAACCAGGAGACTTAAACCAAGACTAAACCAGGGAGCACTACCAAGACTAAACCAAGACTAAAACCAGGACTAGGAAAACCAGGACTAGGACTGAACCAAGGACTAAACCAGGACTAAACAGGACTAAACCAGAACTGACTAAAAAGAGACTAAAACCAGGACTAAACCAGGACTAAACCAGGACTAGACCAGGTTGTAGGAGTGTTTTTTTGTTTTCTCGTCGTCTCCACCAGAGGGAGCCACATGAAACAAGAGGAGCAGTTCCAGATGTGACCACACGAGGGCAGCACAGAGTCTGGATCTGGGTTTTGTTTGATTTTGTCCAAAGATCCAGAAAAAGTTTGATTCTTGATTCATTTCGACAAATACTACTACAACTACTACAAATACTACTACACTACTTACTACTACTAGGCAATACTACTATACTACTACTACTATACTACTACTACTACAAATACTATTACTACTACTACTACTACTACTACAAATACTACTACTACTACTACAACTACTACTAACTCTACTATACATAACTACTAACTACTACTACTACTACCTACTACTAACTACTACTAGTACTACTACAAATTACTACTACACTACTACTACTACTACTAAATACTACTACTACTACTACAGATAAAGTACTACAAATACTACTACAAATACTACAAATACTACTACTACTACAAATACTACTAATACTATACAAATACTACTACTACAAATACTACTACTACTACAATACTACAATACTACTACTACTACTACACTACTAATACTACTACTACTACAAATACTACTACTACTACTACTACTACTACTACTACTACTACAAATACTACTACTACTACTACTACTACTACTACTACACTACTACTACTACAAATACTACTACTACTACAAAATACTACTACTACTACTACAAATACTACTACTACTACTACTACTACTACTACAAATACTACAAATACTACAAATACTACTACAAATACTACTACAAATAATACAACAATACTACTACTACTACAATACTACAAATACTACTACTATACTACTACAACACTACAAATACTACTAATACTACTACTACTACTACAAATACTACTTCACTATACAAATACTACTACTACAAACTACAAACTACTACTACTACTATACTACAATACTACTACAATACTACTACAAACACTACAAACAAATACTACATACTACTACAAATACTACAAATACTACTACAAATACTACAAATACTACTACAAATAACTACTAATACTACTACTCAAATACTACTACTACTACTATACTACTAAATACTACAAATACTACACTACTACTAACAAATACTACTACTACAAATACTACAACAATATACTACAAAAATACTACAAATACTACAAATACTACAAATACTACAAATACTACAAAAATACTACAAATACTACTACTA